TGCTTTATGTGACTTGCTTCTTTTAATTTATGTTGAAACTTGTTTTATGCTCAATGTATAATTTATGTTGATATGTGTTCCATGCATTTAAAAAAATTGCTGTTGAGTGTTCTATAAATGTCAATTACATCAAGTTGGTTGATCGTATATTCAAATCTTCCATATTCTTACTGCTTTTCTGTCTAGTTGTTTTAATAAAACAGTTAATAAAAAAACTTAATAACTTTTGAGGAAAGGAACATAGAAACCCTCAGTGGCCCCCTGATGTGTCTATATTAGTGTTCTGTGAACAGATTTCATTTTAACATCCCTTCCTTTTTTAAGACTGTTGGAAGTGATTCTCAAGTTTTTTCTGACTTCGGAAAGCCATCAGTGGTTAGAGAGAGAAACCTTGCCATCAGAGTACTAAGAAACTAGTGTTATAAAACAAATAAATACTAAATAGTACCTTCAGTAGAAAATCAAGACTTTGCTGAAAATCCTTACAGACTATTGTGTATGATGGAATAGTCTATCATACATAATAATGTATGATAGATTCACTAACTTGATTAATTTGGGCTCAGCAAGGAAAAAGGGAAAGGGAAAATCTTTATCTTTGGCCAGTAATTCCAAAACAGCTAAGAAGCATAGTTTTAGAATTGTCTTCTTTGGATCCTTAATAGTACATACAAGTGAAACTTGAGATTTTCTGTGAGTGTGCCAGAGGACCAGGAGTTAGGGAAGAAATCAGCGAGTCAACGTAATTACCTAACAATGCATTTTTATTCTCTCGTATTTGTAATTAAATCCAATATTTTTTTCTAATGCTTTTTAAGAATCAAAGGAAAACTTCTCAGTGATAAGCGCATGATTTTTACACTAAGTAATACAAACTGAAATTCAGATATGTTAACGAAACCCCAAAGCCATGGTAGTTGTCAAGTGCTTGCTTCTTTCTGGTACTCTGCCCGATGCCGTGAGGAGGGTCTACCCCTGCACTGCCTGTGGTAAAACAGCAATAGGAGAGGTTCTTGCCTAGTCTGTGACTGGTCGCAAGATTCCTTGTGTGCTAGATGGTGTTCTGAGCCATGGGGTGGCCATTGCCAAGGGTCATTATGGGTGCAGGCTGTTAGCTGATCTCAGGGAGCTGGAGAATTGTTTGGCAGAATTCCTGGTCCATTTTCTCTCATGCAATGGCTGTTGGGTGGGTTGATGTGGTCTGCTCTGGGGACTCCTGCTCCATCCACCTTTCTGGCAGCATTAGTTACCCTTCTGTGAGAAGAGATTGAAGAATGGTCAGAAGAGACTTGTTTTCTTTCTTTCTTTCTTTCTTTCTTTCTTTCTTTCTTTCTTTCTTTCTTTCTTTCTTTCTTTCTCTTTTCTTTCTTTTCTTTCTTTTCTTTCTTTTCTTTCTTTTCTTTCTTTTCTTTTCTTTCTTGTTTTATTTATTTCTGAGAGAGAGAGAGAGAGAGAGAGACAGCGGGGGGGGGGGGGGTGTTAGAGAGAGAGGGAGACACAGGATCTGAAACAGTCTCCAGACTCTGAGCTGGCTGTCAGCACAGAGCCCGATGCGGGGCTCAAACCCATGAACTGGGAGATCATGACCTGAGCCGAAGTCGGACGCTTAACCGATTGAGCCACCCCAGTGCCCCAGAAGAGACTTGTTTTCTTTAGCAATCTGGGAGTTAGGATATGAGAATATATAGAATAAAAGCTTGAAATTGTCAAATTTATGTCAAATTTTCAAAATAAAAGGATAAATGTTTTAGTACTTTTTATATTTGTATTCAAAATTTGCTTCTCTGCCTCTCTTGTTTAGTTGGCCTGTTTTTAGGTACATTGTCCTTTCTTCTTCTTCTTCTTCTTCTTCTTCTTCTTCTTCTTCTTCTTCTTCTTCTTCTTCTTCTTCTTCTTCTTCTTTTTTTAATCCTCTGCTAGGTACATTATTCTTAGCTCATATGTGGGCTCCTGAGATAAATGGACTAAACTAGTAATTTCTTTTGTTCAACTTTCAAAGTCCCATTGAGAAAAGGAGCATCTGGTTTCTGCTGTGATTACTTTAGAAATGGCATTCATCTATTCTTGCCCACATGGACACACTCTGGGCTGTTTGAGAATTCAAATCTGAAACATAGCATAGTGATACCAGTTTCTTCTCTTTATGCATAATTAAATTATTTTTAAACTTAGAGACTTTAATGTTGGCAGTAATATGCAATTAAGTAGTCAGTAGCTTTTAATTACGCTATCAAGTGTTCCCTGTATACTAAGTCCAGGAGATAGTCCTGCACTTGTTGAAAATGAAGTTCATTTCTTCCTGGTGGACAGAGCATGGACTTTGGAGTCAGACCCAGTTTCCAACCACAAACCTACTAAGCACTGTGTCTGAGACTTGTGTCTGATTCAGAAGTGGAGAAACCACACCATCTACTTGGCAGGGTGATTGTCAGAAATGACAGAGACATCAGTGTTTCCTAAATGCTTTGTGTTGTGAGGGGCGCCTGGGTGGTTCACTCTGTTAAGCGTCCGACTTCAGCTCAGGTCATGATCTCTGACAGCTCAGAGCCTGGAGCCTGCTTCAGATTCTGTGTGTCCTCTCTCTCTGCACCTCCCCTGCTCACGCTCTGTCTCTGTGTCTGTGTCTGTCTCAGAAATAAGTAAATATTAAAAAAACAATTTAAAAAATTAAAAAATACTTTGTGTTATGAAATGTGACTTGTATTTTTGAAGGAATCATTTCCTGTGCAAATATGTCTGGAATTTGCATCAGGCTTCCTTCTCTTTCAGGTCCCTTCATGCGTGAAGACTGGGCTTTTAGAGCCCCTTTGGTCAAGAAATCTTTGCTTTGTTGAACTTTTCGTTTCCCAAACTTGGTGTTTTCCTCCCTTCTCCCCACCCCCAACGTGGAACACTGTGGAACATATTGTAGTTTATGCTTCCTTTCACAGAATGTGGATTTGAAAATAAAATGCCCCTAATTTGTACTGGGTAAATTATAGGTTTTTACCCTCCTCCTTTTCAGTGTTAATTTTAATGGTTCAAAACTGTATTGTAAACTCAGAGCCCACTTCAACTTTAGTTTAACCTTCTAAGTAAGTAATAAGCCATTTTTTTTCTTCCAGTTTTACTGAGATGTACTTAATAACATAGCACTGTATAAACTTACGGTGTACAACATAATGACATCGTATGTGTATATTGTGAAATGTTTACCACAGTAAGTTCAGTCAGCGCCCATCCATCCATTGAATTATTCACTATATTTTATTTTTCATTTATTGTCTTTTAGTTGATATCTTTTACCCAAAATAATGTTAAAGACTTTGATGTTAAAATATGAGAAATGCACATGTACTGGTAAGAGAGTTAAGACTCTTGGCATCATAGTGTCTGGTTACATTCCTGCTTCACTAGTTCAATTAAGTAACAAATTAAATACTCATAAACATTCATAGTATTTCTCGAAGTTTCCTCCTAGCCCTCTGACAGACACTCAGGTGTCTTAGATACTTCCTGCACCTGCTTTGAGCCTCTGAATACTAGGTGGGAACCATTCAGGTCTTTCTTGAGGGATTTTGTAAGAACTCTGTAGATTTAAGAAATAAGAAATAACAAGTTTGCAATAAAAAAGCAGATGTTAAAAGAATAAAAAGTAGGAGAGTATTTTGTGTGTTTTAATAGGAAATGAAGATAAATAAAAAGAATAAAAGTAATTTTACACCCAGAGATCTTTGTTGCTAGCATCTTACCCTCCTAAATTTTTTCTTATGTAGTCCACAAAAACAGTATCCTATTTATACACGTTACTTTGTAGCTTTCTTAATTTACTTAAACATGCAAAGTGAAGGGCTTTTTCTCCCAGATATCTGTGAAAGTACCCTTTACCTTTCCCACGTTATCTCCCTTAATAGTGTGCCCTCTCTCACTCTCCAGCCTGTTTTCTCAGGAGAAGTTTGAGGTTGGAGGAAGAGTAGGGAGAGGAGCAAGCTGTCTTGAAGGGTAAACTGTTGTATGTTATATGATTCCTTGTTGGTTATGTGTAAACTGTTGGTGTATGCAGAATTCTGCAGAGTACACATCTCTTATTTTGCTGAGTTATATTATACTGACCCAAAAAGATTTGCGTTGAATTTATTTCTTAGAAGAAGAAGACATTATTTGGAAAGGTCAAAAGTTGGCATGTGCATATTATGTACAGCTGCACTTAATTACAAATCTGAAATTCTTGGGGCCCCTGGGTGGCTCAGACAGTTGAGCTTCCAACTTCAGCTCAGGTCGTGATCTCGCGGTTCATGAGTTCAAGCTCCACATCAGGCTCTGTGCTAGCAGCTCAGAGTCTGGAGCCTGCTTCAGATTCTGTCTCTCCCTCTCTCTCCCTGCCTCTCCCTCTTAAAAAGTTTTTTTAAAAATAATCATGAGTAAATCTGAGATTTTTATAATGGAGTACTGGATGGTTTGTTTACTTTCTAAGTTAAATCCAAACAGACAAAAAGCTTAGTAGAAAGGCAAAGGACATTTTTCTTTTGATGAAGGATATTTTTGAGAAAATGTTACATTATTAAACATATTTTGATCTGATTTTATTATCTAGAGCTTTCTTAAATGGTATTAAGAACTGGCAATAGAGGGTGCCTGGCCCAGGCTCAGTTGGTAGAACATGTGACTCTTGATCTCTAAGTTCAAGCCCCACAAAGTGTAGAAATTACTCAAAAATAAATGAAATCTTGGGGCACCTGGGTGGCTCAGTTGGTTGACCATCCGACTTTGGCTCAGGTCATGATCTGACAGTTTGTGAGTTCAAGCCCTGCGTCTGGCTCTGTGCTGACAGCTCCCAGCTTGGAGCCTGGAGCCTGCTTCGGCTTCTGTCTCCGTCTGTCTGCCCCTCCCCTGCTTAGGTGCGCTCGCTTGCTCGCTCGCTCTCTCTCTCTCTCAAATATAAATAAACATTTTAAAAATGGAAAAGAAGAAAATGTATTGCTATTTCTCTGAAATTAAAAAAAAATTTTTTTAAATAAAAGGTGGCTACCATCCCGTGAAAATTGGAGACCTCTTCAATGGCCGCTACCACGTTATTAGGAAGCTAGGATGGGGACACTTCTCAACTGTCTGGCTGTGCTGGGATATGCAGTAAGTGCTTTTGTCCATTTATGCGTTTCATTTCTGGTCTGGTTCAACCCTTATAAGACAGGGTGGCTGAGGAGCAGAAGCGTTTCCGTGATCGTGATGGCCTGAGCGGACGTGGCACAGGCCTGCCCCACCCAGCTAGACATTCCTCCCCCTCCCTCCACTCCCCCCCCGCCCCCCCGTCTGAAGTTCTCTTGTCGGTTATCTTAACATATTAACTTCCTTCTGTTTTTATATCTATAGCTTATTCAGCGATACTGCATTACATAAGACATACTGTTCTTCTAGTAATTCATGCATAGCAGAAAAATATTCACATATAAAATAATAATGTATAGGCCTTTAAATCTGTGGTTTCTGAATTCTTTAAAAAAAAAGTCATGATCCCATAGTAGGAACCTGCTCTGATACCCAGGACACATACACATCTGGGGTGTGTGTGTGTTCTAAACCAGAAACGTTAACAGAATAACACTTACTCTACGTGATGAACTCTGACATTTTCCCAGTCTCCCTTATTCTTATTAGGAAAAAGCCAGCACAAAGCAAAACAGAGATTGTTGTGATCCATGAACTTACTGCTTCATTGTGGCCACACAGTTTTAAAAGTACTGTTTTAAAGGAAAGGTTATTAAATGTTTCTGTTTATTGAATAGATCTTATTAGAATGATCACTTCTGATAATATAAAAAATATGCATTTTTTTTTTAAGGGGGAAGAGATTTGTTGCAATGAAAGTTGTAAAAAGTGCCCAGCATTACACAGAGACAGCCTTGGATGAAATAAAACTGCTCAAATGTGTAAGTACTGAAGAAATGTGAATAATGTAAGAAATATTAATGGCTTAAAATCTTAGGAATTTTTTAGGTCTTACTAGATTAAAACTAAATTTATTTTTTATAAATGCAAATACAGAGTCATTTATTTTTAAAAGCATTACTTTTAGTAAGACATTTTTGGTTGGTATAATGGAAATGACTTTCAGTCTTAAATGCTTCTGTCCTTGAATTCATTTTTCTTTCCATAGGTTCGAGAAAGTGACCCGACTGACCCAAATAAAGACATGGTAGTACAGTTAATCGATGACTTCAAGATTTCAGGCATGAATGGAATACGTATCCTTATTGACATTTCTTCTGCTTCCTAATGGCTAAATTATACTATAGTTTTTATTTTTAAAATATGGCAATATTTCAAGCTCATTTAAACTTCTGTTTGCTGTGCTGTATCATTGTCCACATAATGCCTCTAGTATGGTCACTTAGTGTTGTAAAATGGTATGCCAGAATATTCCCCAATTCCTGCCAGTCCATTTCAGTGTCTTGGGTAATCTCTCTGGGGCCGTACAACTATTCAGCATCCTTCTTGTACATATAGCTCTTTCACATTCTTTCTTGTCCAAGCCCTGGGCTCCACCTGCACTGTCAAGCTGGGGAGTACCTCACAGATGTGTAAGTAGAGAGCAGAGAAAGATTAGCCACAATCATCTTTACAGATTACAAGGACCAAAAGATCAGGTGTGTCAAGAGCCAGGGTCTTCTCTTCACTGATCTTTTTGCTCTTTCCTTTATATCGTGTTTGAAACAGATTTTTTTTTTTAAGATAATGCAACAGTTTCTCTTTTTTTTAATTTTAATTTTTTGAATTTTTTTCTTAGTTTATTGTCAAGTTGGTTTCCATATAACACCCAGTGCTCATCCCAACAAGAGCCCTCCCCCATGCCCATCACCCCCTTCCCCTCTCCCCCACCCCTATCAGCCCTCAGTTAGTTCTCAGCATTCAAGAGTCTCTCATGGTTTGCCTTCCTCCCTCTCCCCCACTATTTTTCCCCCTCATGGGCCTCTGTTAAGTTCCTCCTAATCCTCCTATATGTGCAAACATATGGTATTTGTCCTTTTCTGCCTGACTTACTTCGCTCAGCATAACACCCTCAAGTTCCATCCGCATTGCTACACATGGCCAGATTTCATTCTTTCTCATTGCCATGTAGTATACCATTGTATAGATGAACCACATCTTCTTAATCAATTTGTCAGTTGATGGGCACTTAGGCTCTTTCCATGATTTAGCTATTGTTGAGAGTGCTGCTATGAACATTGGGGTACATGTGCTCCTCTGCATCAGCATTTCTGTATCCCTTGGGTAAATTTCTAGCAGTGCTATTGCTGGGTCATAGGGGAGTTCTATTGTTAATTTTTTGAGGAACCTCCACACTGGTTTCCAGAGGGGCTGCACCAGTTGACATTCCCACCAACAGTGTAGGAGAGTGCCCGTTTCTCCACATCCTTGCGAGCGTCTAGAGTTCTCTGATTTGCTCATTTTAGCCACTCTGATGGGCGTGAGGTGGTATCTCAGTGTGGTTTTGATTTGTATTTCCCTGATGAGGGATGCTGAGTATCGTTTCATGTGTCTGTTGGCCATCCAGATGCCCTCTTTGGAGAAGTGTCCGTTCATGTCTTCTGCCCATTTCTTCACTGGGTTGTTTGTTTTTCGGGTGTGGAGTTTGGTGAGTCCCTTACAGATTTTGGATACTAGCCCTTTATCTGATATGTCATTTGCAACGTTTGAAACAGATTTTGATATTTGCCATGCCCAGGCTCCAGGACCCTGAGGACAAAGCCACCCCCCAGCCCAGACGGACACCCTGTTTCTGCGTCTCCTAAGCCTTCGTCTCCTAGGGAAGCGCTCCCTACATGTATGTTTGAAGGAGGTCCTGTATTTCTTCTAGAGATTGGACTCAAGGGCACTCGTAAGTGCCATTGCCTGCTGATGTCACCTTGCCCTTTGCCTCAAGATCATTTCTGCGAGCTGCTGAGTGCATTTTCCCTTTCTTGGTCCTCTGCCCTGTGCCCAAGTGAGCCTGTTTGTTTATGAGCAGGCACAGCAGCCCCTCCTCCTGTATCGGTTCTGCAAGGCAATTCGCCAGGATAGCTGACAGGGTTTCTTTGGAGAAACCACCTGATTTATGGGTAAATGTATGTTCCAGTGGCTTTTTTTTTTTTTCTTTTTCTAGGGGAGAGAGAGAGAGAGACCGCGTGAGCAGGGGAGGGTCAGAGAGAGAGGGAGTCACAGACTGAAACAGGCTACAGGCTCTGAGCTGGCAGTCAGCACAGAGCACGACGCCGGGCTAAACCCACGAACCGCGAGATAATGACCTAAGCAAAAGTCGGACGCTTAACCGACTAAGCCACCCAGGCGCCCTTCCAGTGGCTATTTTACTCTTAAATAAACTGCTAGTAAACCATTATAGTCCCACTTGGTCAGTGCTTGGAAATCTTGGCCTTTGGCTCTGTGTCTTTTACTAAGTTTAGTCCTTCGTTTGCCTTTTTATAATAATGAGTTGGGAAATAAAACTTCTGACTTTAGCTTATCTTTGCATAAATCTGTAATGTTCTCCAACACTGTAGAAATATTTTATTTAAAAAAATATTTAAAGCAACAAATATTGTCATAATGTGAATGGTAGATCCAAGTATTGTAGAAAATATTCAATCAACTAACTGGCGTCAATAACCTGTCTGTCGGCTTGCAGGGAGGAGCAGTATATTCTCAAAGGTTTTCAAAGCCAGTTGAAGTTTTCTTGTATGAATGACGTGAATATATTTGTATGATGGACTCTGGTGGATCATAGTTCTGCAGAGTCTGTGACTGACTAGAATTTCTATTCGGTGGAAAAACATCCAGATTCCTGAGATTTCATTATTATACGTGGGTCTTAGTGCCCTCTTATATTGTCATCTCGTGTTACTGAAAGCTGCCTGTAGTATTAAAGTTGGTCTAGTTCTGCAGTGAAAGATACTATTGAAAAGATTAAATGTCTTCATTGTGTTTTGTAAATTTCTGTTTTATATAGTGTTTTATGGAATGGAGATTTAGGCAGGCAGGGAGGATACTTAAGGCTTTTTGTTGTTGTTGTTGTTGTTGTTTTCCTATCATCAGTTTTTATGAGGTTTCAGCCTAGCTTACTTTTCACTAATGCTGAGTATCAGGACGAGAGGGTGTTGAAATGAGCAAGAGCGCAGGGAGGTGTGGGGTTGGTTCGGGGCCCAGCAGCCTTCGGACCTTGTGATGCCAGAGAGCTCTTCTGGCTCCTGGGTTCACTGTGTTTGCCTCTGCATGTGGCCGTAAGCACGTTGTTTTAACGGGATGAGCACGCACTGAGTAACATATTGAATATGAGTACTTAGTCAATGTTAGATCTCTTCATTTAGATGAGAAACAGCAAGTGACCACTTGTGGTATTATTGATAACTAACGATGTTGCATTTCATAAAGAAAGAAATGTCAAGTGCTACAGCGATGCTGCTTTGAGTAATTGCATCACTCCAGGAAATGTATCTGCAGATGGTCCTTAACCATGTCCCAGATGTCTGCATGGTCTTCGAAGTGCTTGGCCACCATCTCCTCAAGTGGATCATCAAGTCCAACTACCAAGGCCTCCCAGTACGTTGTGTGAAGAGTATCATTCGACAGGTGAGGATGTGAGGACAGCCCCCTCCCTCCATTACCTAACTGGCTAGTCTTTCAACACAGATTCCTGTTGTTAAAAATATGCTTAGCAGACACATGTGCATGCACACAGACACGTATAAATATATATAATTTTGATTTTTCCTATATATATGTATATTACAGGGCATAACATTTTGAACTTGTTATGTCAATTTTATATTTATTTAATGATATTCCATCCTGTCTTGTAAAGAGAGTAGTTTGTAAATGTCAGGCATGCATTTATATTGGTGTATTGATCTTTTATTTAAAGTAAATGGTATGTATACTGAGAGATTGTTGTATCTAATGTCATTACTACAAAATGTCCCACTTAGTTCCTTAGAAAATAGTTCAGAAGAAATAGATAATTTGTGTTCATTTATTATTATTTCTACATATCATTGGATAGAGTCTAGATGAAAGATAATATAAGGTATGTTTAAGTTGTATGGGGAGTATTGTATTAGATTTGTACTCTGTTCAATTACCTTGATAAAAGAAAACCTCTGGCCGGGGTCTGGTTCAGGGATGATGTTCCTACAAATAATTCTAGAATGAAAACATAGGCATATCAGAGCTCTCCTAATGAGAAATACTTAACAGATTCAGTTTTCTGGATGGAATTTATCAGTCTTGCTCTTGGTTGCCCTCCTAGCCTAAACAGGGAAAGTTGCAGATATGACTTACTCTGTATTACCTGTTCTGACATCATGGATAATTGCCACGGGTAATTCTGCAAAGGAAGTAATATATCAAAGGGGTTGCTTGGTGTGCTTGAGAAGAGGATTAGGCGATTTGACACCCATCCCTTGTCCCCAAGGCCTAGAGCTTGAGCTTGGCCTGTTCAGGAGTTTCCAGGCCTGAAATACAGGCCTCGGTTCAGAATTCTTAATAGGAAAAGAATCAGGGAATGATTTACAATTAAAGAATTGTGATTTCAAGAGATGGATGCCTACAAAAGAACCTTACTTATAGTGGTAGTATAGATAGTATTTGCATATATGCATATGAGTAGGTTTTTTAACCCATTTTATAAAGATTTGAAGCTTAAGTTTGTTTTGTGAAAGCATCCTGGATTTTGCTTTTGAAAGTTTGTAGAGGTAGCGTTGTTGAGTCAGCCGAGGGCTCATCATTTATCTTTGTCTTTTTGTACTGCACATCGGCAGCTTGTCTTCTGAAATTACAGATGTTACACAGCAAGAGGGGCCGGAGAGAGAAGGGCTCTCCGCCTTGGCTTATACGGTGGAGTGCTGTTCTTGTACATGGTATTATGTTAGGTATACAGACTTGTGGCCAGCTCTTGTTTAATACTATCTGTTCCCTTTAGTTTTTAGATAGTAGCATTTTAGTTTCCTATTTTAACATGGTTAATAGCTCAGATGAAAAAACAGTTTCCTTTTAACGTGGTGGTGGTGATGATTAACGTTAATTGGAAATTTTCAGTCCCTAAATAACTCTTCAGTATTTATAACTATTGGTAGCAACTCTAAAAATATCATTTTGTTAAAACTCTAAAAAAATTCTTCATTATCCCTGATAAATCCTGAAAATACTAAGATTTACGTATTCTGACAAAAAGTAAATAATTTGAGAAATACCACCTTGCATATGTTTCATGTAGCCTCTGTCTTTCCCTGGAACCCTATACTTTGAAAGATGTCTGCAATCGCCATCATGACTGACATGGTCAGTCACCATGTCACAACTCAGGCTGGGCAGTGAAGGAAGGTGACTTCCTGGATGAACCATTGGTATTTATTTTGTGTTCCAGAAAAAGCAAGTCAAAGAGTTTGTAAATCTAAAGATGAAATTCTTGGGGTTTAATAGAATTTTAGTAGGTACTTGCTGAACGAACAAATGATTTTAATGAATGTGTTATCCTCAGTGGAATTCACGTACACTGTGCTTTGGAGACTAAGAACTCTTAATAGTGTTTCATTGGCCTAGAAAAATTTCAAGATGGAATTTTCATTTTCTATACTTAGTTATTTTAGGCAGTATTAGAAGTTTTGTTTACAGTGTCCCCACCTTTAATTTTATTTAAGAAAAATATGGATTCTGGATTTTTTCCCCTAAATTTGTAACTTTCAAAGCAGCAAATTGATATATATCCCAGTTAGTTATCTCTATATCTGAGGGGTGCCTCGGTGGCTCAGTTGGTTGGGCATCTGACTTCAGCTCAGGTCATGATCTCACAGTTCATGGTTTGAGCCCCGCCTTGGGCTCTGTACTGACAGTATTAAAAAAAATACTGAACCATAGAGTGAATCAAAGGTAATGAAGGGAAATTCAAATATATATTTTTTTAATGTTTATTTAGTTTTGAGACAGAGACACGGAGTGTAAACAGGTGAGGGGCAGAGAGAGAGGGAGACACAGAATCCAAACAGGCTCCAGGCTCTGAGCTGTCAGCACGGAGCCTGACGCGGGGCTCGAACCCATGAACCGCGAGATCATGACCTGAGCCAAAGTCGGACACTTAACTGACTGAGCCACCCAGGTGCCCCATGGATTCAGTATTTTAATTCTTTATTAATAGACCTCACAGTTACTTTGCTTCCCAGAACCGGACTAGGTAGAGCAGCATTCTAATACTCTTTCACTGTGTGGCCTCCTTTCCCTTCACGTCAGGCGTGGCTGACCCTGTGTAAGTCACCCCTGTCATCTGTCACTTGGCATGCTTCACTCATCACCTAGCCATTGATCCCACCTGTGTTATGTCTTTTACCCCTGACCTTCCTCCTTCCGGTGCCACCATCCTTAGTTCAGAGCCTTATCACCTCCAGCCGGTACCGTTGTGCAGGCTTCTCTGTCCTCTCCCAGAGGTTGCCCATCCTATTCCACTTCTCTCTTCCAGGTTTTTGTCCTTTCCATTAGCAGTTACCTTCCAAAACAAGACTTTGCTCCAGTAAATCACATTTCCCATTTAGAAACCTTCAGTAGCTTTCCGCTGCCTGTTGTCTAAACATAGTGTTGCTCCTTGTTCACTCTCAGGAAGCAACATGTGGGGTGATAAAGAGCTTGGGTTTTGGTGTCATGCTGAGTGTGCTGGAGAGAGAGAGAGAGCGCACGCACGTGCGCAAGTGAGCGTGAGTGAGGGCGGGGCAGGAAGCGAGGGAGAGAGAAATACCCAAGCAGGCTCAGCGTTGTCTGTACAAGCCTGATGTGGGGCTTGAACTCACAAACAGTGAGACTATGACCTGAACCAAAACAAGAGTGCTTTGGTGCTTACCCAGCTGAGCCTCCCAAGCCGCCTGATTATTACAAATTTTTATTCAGGGCTTAGTGTGTGCTAGGCATAGTTGTAAGTACTTCACAAATTTTCATTCATTCAGTATTCACAGTAACTCTGTAAAATAGGTATTTTTACCCTTCTGATTTTATGGGAGAGGAGCTGAGGCATTGAGAAGTTAAGTAACTTACCCCTAGTTAGAAATTAACTTAAAAAGTAGTAAGCTGGGGGGTCGCCTGGGTGGCTTAGTTGGTTAAGCGTCTGACTTTCGCTTAGGTCATGATCTCGCGGTTCGTGGGTTTGAGCCCCGCGTCGGGCTCTGTGCTGACTGCCAGCTCAGAGCCTGGAGCCTGTTTCAGATTCTGTGACTCTCTCTCTGACCCTCCCCTGCTCACGCTGTCTCTCTCTCTCTCTCCTAGAAATAAATAAAAATATTAAAAAAAAAAAAAAAGTAGTAAGCTGGGGAACAGGAGTTCATACCCAGGTGGTCTGGTTCTGGAGGTCTTATGTTTAGTGTTCTGCCCAGTGGCGTATATATCGTTGGAATTGTACTTGGCCTAATGTGGATAAAAGTTAAATCACTGTTCTTCCTGTGAACCTATTTAAGGTTTCCTGCCATCTGTTGTCAGCCCTTATTTCCTCTTGCAAACCCTGATTCAGCTTTTGTCTCCTGGCAGGCGATTTTTCTCTCCATTAATTAATGAATCTTTTAAAGAAAATGGACAATACATGTAAGTGCTCTAAACTGTATGTCCTTTAGATACCCAGTTTCTCTCCTAGAGTCCACCAAGTGACAGTGTCTTCTGAATAGTCAGAGATGCCCCAGCATTTATAAATAGGTGCTGAGTTCCTGCAGGTTTATTCAGAAATGTGTACCAGTTTCATTTTGTAGTGTTTTAGAGAAAGTACTCACCTTGCCATTACTTTAGCTGCACATCTTTTATTACGTCTTATGTCTTAGGCTTGCGAAAATACCATCTTTTCTGCTCATGTTTTTAAAGACTCAGCCAAAATCCTGCTCTGTGACAAAGCCTTCCCACACTACCCCAGTGCAAAATGCTATTTCTGCCCTCCTCAGTATGCCTGCGGCCTGTGTTGGGTCCTTTCCTAATGATTGTGGAGTCTTCCAGCATGACCCACAGTTTGACAGGCCTGGCATTGCTGACATTTGGACTGGGTAATTCTCTCTCACCGGGACCTGTCTTATGCACTGTAGGGTGCTTTTAGGCATCTAGATGCCTGTATCGGCCACCACCGCCACAGTTGTGACTATTGAAAATGTCTCTGAGAGGCAGAATTCTCTCCTGTTGAGAACCGGGAATAGGGGAAAGTGCAGTGGATACATGCCTTGCCAAAAGACTTCACTTCAAATAATAACTTTGGCACTTAATTGTTTCTTTTTAATTTTTTTTAATGTTTATTTTTGAGAGAGTCACAGAGAGCAAGCAGTGGAGGGGTAGAGAGAAAGGGAGACAGAATCCTAAGCAGGCTCCGTACTCTGACCTGTCAGCACAGAACCTGATGGGGGCTTGAATCCATGAACTGTGAGATCATAACCCGAGCCAAAGTCGGACGCTTAACCGACTGAGCCACCCAGGCACCTCTAGCACTTAACCTGATTGGATCACGTAGCCTCTGTGAGCTTGTTTTCTCATTTGTAAAATTGGGATGATAATATGTGACTTGTGACTTTATCGTGGAGATTAATATGGAAGGACTGCGGGGAAAGCATCCAGTGTGGTGACCA